TGCAGAAATGCGTCTAAAAACGCCAAAATTTCTTTTGATATGGAGTGTTTTTTCGAAATAGAGAGTTCATCATTTGCGATGAACCCCATAAAATCCCGCTTATAAGCACTGGGTTTCTTCCGGCTCCTTACAACTCATTGAAGCCCATCGGTCTACTCCGGGAGATCGTGAGTTTGACCACAAACGAAGGATGTTACGTAAGGAAATTGGGCAAAGCTTGCGTAAGAACCGAGAAGCCTGGTGGTCGGAGCGTGCTAATGAGTTGGAAGAAGCAGCTGCGTCTGGTAATTACCGGAAGCTCTTCCAACTCATCCGAGCCACTGGCAGCAAGAAGTCTGGTGTGAGCGAAACAATCTGCGAGGATGATGGGATGCCAATCACTAACATCCATCGACGTCTTGGACGATGGGCAGAATTTTTCGAAGGACAGTTCAACTGGCCTGCTGCTCCGGCAACATCGGTCAGACTGTCCTGCCCCCCATAGCCGGTGACGACTGATCCACCAAATGAGGCGGAAGTCCGCAAGGAACTCCAACTCTTGAAGCGTTACAAATCACCTGGCCCAGATGATTTACCCCCGGCTCGTTTTAAAGATGGTGGTGACTTTCTGACTAAGGAATTGACGACGTTGTTTACAAAGGTTTGGGAACTAGAGAACATACCAACGTCATGGAATGAGTCGATAGTTGTCCCTATCTTTAAAAAGGGTTCGCCTCGTTCCTGTAACAACTATCGGGGGATAAGTCTACTTTCGATTGCGTCCAAGCTATTGGTTTCCGTCATTCTTCGTAGGTTGTTCAAAACCCGAGAAAGATTGACTCGCGAGGAGCAGGCTGGGTTTCGTTCTGGCCAAGGATGTATTGATCATATCTTCACCCTTCGCCAAATGTTAGAACACCGCCATACTTATCAAAGGCCAACAATCGTAGTGTTTCTTGACACCAGGGCTGCCTTCGATTCGTTGGATAGGACTGTTCTCTGGGATTGTCTATTGAAGAAGGGTGTGCCTGAGAAGTTTATTAACATCCTAAAAGCCCTGTATAAAAACACCTCAGGCAGAGTGAGGGCATACAACCACCTCTCTCCATTGTTCCATTCGAGCAGTGGGGTTAGGCAGGGTTTCCCAATCTCACCATTCCTCTTCAACTTTGCCATCGATGACATTCTGGGAACAGCTCTGATGAATGTAAGTAATGGTGGTGTGGATCTGTTGCTTGGAGAAAAACTTCTCGACCTTGAGTATGCGGATGATATTGTCTTACTGTGCGATAATGCCAAGGCATGCAATCCGCACTTAATCAGTTGGCAATCAGTGTCCGTAGGTATGGTATGTGCTTTGCACCTTCGAAGTGAAAAGTACTTCTACAAGACTGACAGGATTCTAATCCTGTACTCACCCTGGACGGTGAGCAGATAGAAGTAGTCGAGAAGTTCGTGTATCTAGGTAGCTGCATAAGTGCTGGTGGGGGTGTGAGTTATGAGATCAATGCACGAATAGTGAAAGCCAGAGCGGCTTATGCCAATCTGGGCCACCTTTGGCGCCTTCGTGATGTTAGTCTGGCTGTAAAAGGTCGGATCTACAACGCGTCGGTGAGAGCAGTTTTGCTCTATGCTTGTGAAACCTGGCCTCTCCGAGTTGAGGACGTTAAAAGACTCTCTGTGTTTGTTATAACTGTGACGGCAGCAGATTAGAGGGTAGCGAATTATTGATCGGACCAAAGACGCGCAAACACGTAGAACAACCTAGGGTTCTGATTGGCCCCGCTTCCCTGTCTAGACCAGCCAGTTAAGTCCAGAACGCAAGTTTCAGTCTCGGATATATGAATCGTTATATTTCAAACATACTCTGTCTATATACTAATCAAGCAGACCACATCGTACCATAAAATAGAAAATAACATTGTACAATATTGACCAGTAGGAAAATGACACGTGAAATAAGCACTGACCAATGAGAATAACACATCATATGGAATTCATACGACAACGAAGCAGACTTGTGCATGGAAGACAGCTGACAGACGCATTCCAAGTGAGGATCGGAGCCGGGCGATGCTGCCTACTCTGCCCCTTTACCTTTCCTATGATCGTTGACTGGATTATGAAGACTTTAACATCTCAGGAGAAGCACGGACTACAATATATAAGTTGGATGCAGATGAAGACAACCAGTTTAGCGGCAGTCTCTGCATCAGTAGGCCTCAACATACACAAGGGAATAGGCAAAATCCTCAAACATATCATGGAGAACACCACCCCAGTGAGTAAGTCACATGGCAGTAAGGTTTCTGCATACCAGCGGCTGTTACACTATCAAGCAGGCGGTTGGTTGATTGGTTAATTGGTGATGTGTAAAAAAAGGTTTTAAAGATTTAAATGGGGAAAAAGAATGATGATAAGAGGTAGGAATAAATTATCGATATGTGATGTTAACAGTAGATGAGTTGCGGGACGTGCATCAGATGAAACTAGTACAAGCAGAAATTAGAAATCTGATAGTTAGTTTTATCAAGTCTTCCTCTAAAGTTATCCACTGAAGGAAACATAATTACTTGAGCTGAAAGGGCCTTCCAACTGTAGGCAACATTTAATATGAAAAGATGGGAGTGTGCTTTGGTGTCTGCCTTTCGATGTGCCATTATTTTGGGGTCTCATCAAGTTGTGTGGTAGTGAAGTTTCAGTGAGACATTCAAATGCTAGTGACTCGGTGTGCTGAAGACATTGTCTGTCATCGATAGGTGTTTTCTTATTCTCCGAGCGATCGGCAAAAATTTTCCCAAGAGTTGGAGCTAATATTGGTGAGATTTTTTTCTTAGTCGCATTGTAAAACTCATTTGGGACGTTAGCGTATGAAAATCCCTCCCCATACACACTGTTGTGAATCACTGTGCACGATTCCTTCAGATATACATTGCGTTGACCTTTTGATTTCAGTCGAGTTGGTACTATTTATATTGTACTGCAAATTCAGTTTTTATTTCATTTTCATTGACCTTACATGTTTTTCCTGAACTATATCTAAGTTGTTTTATTTGAATCCTGGTTATGGTGGCTACTATGTTCACTCACCCGCCTTTTTGGTAGTTGTACTTGGATTAATTGGAATTGTGTATAAATAACTGTGTATCGAAGAACGTTTCCAGAACTGCTGACACTCCGTATTAAAACAAAATTAAATATCATATTTTGAACTATCTGAACGTGATCTATCCAGTAAAGATGGGATGATGATCCTGTATTTATGAGGAATTTCATTTATAACACTTGACAATTCTCTCATATCCTTTATTATTTTATCTGCTTCATGTAATTTAGATTTCACTACTGGATGAACGATTATAGGTTGAATGACAGGGTGGTAATTTTTGTTTAGTTGATGGTGTACATTTGGGACCAAATGTGAAACCATGGTTTTCCCAATCACTTTGTTTGGGATTCTACATGGTGAAAGTGCGTATTTGAACTTATCTGTTGGAGATGTTGGATCCCCAAAACTCACTTGGTAAATACCGTGATTTTGTAATTTTATTTTGAAAAGTTGAAAGCACAAGCCATACCTACGAATACTAATTAACAACTGATTAATCGCTGGCCGCATGGCTTGGGAATCATCATACAGTAAGACAATATCATTTGCATACTCAAGATAGAATAGTTTCTCCATACCACCAGCACCTACATCCTTCATGACTGTTTCCAGGGTGTTGAAAATGAACGGTGAGATTGGTCAACTTTACCCAACCCCAGTTTTGAATAAAAGAATGGAGAGAAGTGTTTGTATGCCCTCAGTTTGCCTGGGAGTTTTGTATATATGACCTTAAAGATATTAGTAGACTTCTCAGGCACATCCTTCGTCAATAGACAATTGCAGAGAACAGTCCTGTTCAACTAGTCGAATATGGCCATGATGTCAAGTAACAAAAGATTGTTGTTCTGCAACAGATATGGTGGTGTTTTAACACATGAGAATGATGGTTAAGATATGTTCAATACATCCCCAACCAGAACGAATATCATATTGCTCCTCGTGAGTCTATTTTGGACGCGATCGGAAGAGGATTTATCTCCTGATAGTTGTTGCAGAAACGACGTAAACTTTTTTTAAGGATAGGAACAACTATAGACTAATTTCACGATGCTCAAACACTAATTCCCAGCACTTTGTGAACATCTCGGTCAGTTCCTCAACCAGAAGGTCACTACTATCTTTAAAAGGGATCAGAGGTAAGTCATCTGATCCTGATGATTTGTGACGCTTCAGGAGTCGGAATTCCTCGTGGACTTCTCCCTCAGGTGGATCAGTCGTCTTGAAGGATAGGAAAGTTTGATCGATGTCGTCGGGCAGCAGACCAGTTGAGCCGCTCCTTGCAAATCTTTTCCCACTGTCCAAGGCATCGATAGATTTTATTGATTAGCATTCCATCAACTTCACAGATTGTTCCACTCACACCAGATGTCTTGCCGCTAATGACTCAGATGAGTTGACAGAGCTTACAGCATCTCTTACAACCGTCAGCCAGTTTAGATTGATATCGACAGTCTTCCAAACATACCCTAGAACCACTGCATTTCTGACTTCTGATTTGAGTGGTTGGTACACTTCGACTATAAAGGTGCTACATGTAAAGACGTTGTCAAACCCTAAAAACCTATGGGATCATAAAACATGTCATTACACAGGTATTTTAGAGTAATCACCAGAATACGTTACGTTTGCCTTCTAAATATTGCGTAATGTTCATCTCGATGAGTATTTGCACTAGTCCACATTGCAGTAATTGTATCTTTTACTAAACAAAGCGCTTGATTCCTCGTCATTTACATAGATGTTGGACAATGCCCAATGTTGACATTCTAAAAGTTTTTCGTTTCTGTTTTTTTGCTTGTGTATAAGTTCTGACTTGAAAGGAAATCTGACTATAGGCTGGTAAATATGAAGGATTATCAAGTGCTAGGTTATTTGGTCAAGTCCATGACCTTCAGAAGCAGCCAATAAGAATTAAGCGACGAGGCCTGGCGAAGATTTGAAATCTCGGTTTCGCGAGGAAAATGGCTCTTAACAAAGAGTCTATGGATTCCCATTTTTCGTTAGTTGTGTATGAAGTTTTTATATTTGCTAGGTTCGTTCCAAAAGTTGTAAACGGCGGTATCGCTGGGATCGTTGGTGTAACATGCGTTTTTCCAATTGATCTGGTTAAGACGAGAATGCAAAATCAACAAGATGGCAAAAAGTTATACAAAAATGTGTGAGTCATGTTTAAAACTGGTCCATTACCCGGTTATTGATTTCCCTTTGAAAGAAATATTCTTAAATCTTTGAGAAAGAGGTAGTGCACAAAACTTAGTATATAATACTACCTTCCACGAATTATAGTAAGGTGCAGAAAGTTCGAGAACTCTAATAAATAAACCACAAAACCATTCAAAGTGAGCCTTTTCCTAAATTGGTGTCTAAACTTTAGAGTTTTAAGCAAGTAGAGGAAGCTTTCACATCATTTGAGAGGACATTCGAAGAAAGTTCAAAAACCGAGATCAAACCGTTTACGTCTGGAGTTCCGTTTCTTGCACCGAGTAGTGAATTACTGGAATTCTCTGCCGGAACACGTAATAACAGCACCATCTGTTAATTTATTCAAAACGAGATTGGACCTCCACAGTATTACAAACTTCAAGGATTAATATAGGTCGACAGACCTCCTATCCTTATTACTGATGACTGATCCCTAAGTTTATCGACAATACTCTCATGTCTTTACTACTTTTCCGAATATGTGGTCCTGAGAAACTATTGAATAGACTATCTAAAAAAGCTGGTTTCAGTTGCATCATGTTTTCCTAGTTCCATGTCTGATTAATCGAGTTGTCTAGTGAATCCTGGTTGTTATTTAACCACTGTCATAGGCCGATATTTATTTTCCGAATAGTTAGCCGGTTAGATCTCGGCTACACCGTATAATTACATCTCGGCTATCTATCGGTCTTCTATCTACTAATTCGAAGTCTCCCGACCGTTAATCTATCTGGATGAACGTGTTGGAAAGATACGTACCTAGTGTCTTACTACCTACTTTTTTCTGCATCAAAGACAGAGCATTTCAAGGTGATGAGCGTCTAATTAGTAGGCTTAAATAATCTAGTTATTCAATTTAAAAGCCAAATTGACTAGTAGTGTCAACTAAATGGTAAAAAGTAGCTTTTATTATATAGCACAGTTTTTGTTGAGTAATTCTTGTCATTCAGAGTTTACCATACTATTCATTGTAAACATAATCGCTTCTTAAGGACAGTTGTTAGATTAAACTTAGCCTTCCCACCAAATTGAAGCTACATACTTTTACTGGTTTCCTGTGTGGCTTTCTATAGATAATATCCTCAATAAACTGTACTGTAGACATTCTTTGATTATAACGTTCCATTAAACACACTACATAGTTTTGAGTGAAAGCCTTCAACTCAGTAGTTTCGGTTATCTCAAACAAACTTATAATTATGTGTGTATATCCTGAATAAGTAAATCCATATCTTTGTGTAATTAGGTTAGCATTGACAATTTCATCTAGCTGTGCCCCCAAATGCCCTGGTACGGCCTAGAGTGGTATAACAACTCGAGCAGACGCGACAGATCTACATGACCCGTAACTGATAGTATCTTTTCCAGTTTGCCAGATACTTAAATGTTAGTCATCATTATCTTAATAAAGAACTAGTTCGGTAAAGAATGATATGAGTGTTTCTCGTGAAGCCTTTAAAATATTGAAAGGGGCTGAAAACACAATATAAAGCCAGTAGGAGAGAGTTACTACAAGTGCCAATATATATTCACCACACAAAACAATGAGAATTCGAAGAGAAAAAAAAACAGGTAAGGAGCTTTAAAAAAAGAGAAATGACGAAGAGATTGGTGTAAGGTAGTGTAGTAATAATAATAGTAATAATGAGGGAACGGAAAGGTACAATCAGAAGAAATCTTTCAGTTAAGGGAGACACAACCACTTTTTATAAAGAAAGTAAAAGGTTACAGCAGGATCGCCACTGGCTTCTATTCTGAGCCATATCTGATAACGTCTCTAGCCACTGTGTAGCACCATCTCTTAGACCCCAACCAGAGAGTCGTGAAGGACCAACAGAAGCCAGTCCTTTGCAGCTTTCTTTCATGCCACGACACCATGTCATGCACTGACCACCTCTCCGCTTCTTCCAACCAGTCCCAGAGTCGGCAATTAATGCGCGACGTGGAATTCTCTGGGACGACATTCGTAGAACATGTCCAAGCCACCGAATTCGGTGTTTCAAGATGGTGACATCGATTGCATTATTATCTCTGTGCCCGAACACACGATGCCGAACCCCTGCATTACTGACATGGTGTTGCCACTGGATGTCAGCAATCCTTCGAAGACAACGATGATCGAACACTGTTGGGATATTCAGGAAAATATCCCAAAAATTATTCTATTAAGTCTAGTGCTATTCTTGGACTTGGATATGGTGTTATTCTCATTGGTCAGTGCTTATTTCACGTGTCATTTTCCTACTGGTCAATATTGTACAATGTTATTTTCTATTTTATGGTACGATGTGGTCTGCTTGATTAGTATATAGACAGAGTATGTTTGAAATATAACGATTCATATATCCGAGGCTGAAACTTGCGTTCTGGACTTAACTGGCTGGTCTAGACAGGGAAGCGGGGCCAATCAGAACCCTAGGTCGTTCTACGTGTTTGCGCGTCTTTGGTCCGATCAATAATTCGCTACCCTCTAATCTGCTGCCGTCACAGTTATAACAAACACAGAGAGTCGTCTAACGTCCTCAACTCGGAGACGCCAGGTTTCACAAGCATAGAGCAAAACTGCTCTCACCGACGCGTTGTAGATCCGACCTTTTACAGCCAGACTAACATCACGAAGGCGCCAATGGTGGCCCAGATTGGCATAAGCCGCTCTGGCTTTCACTATTCGTGCATTGATCTCATAACTCACACCCCCACCAGCACTTATGCAGCTACCTAGATACACGAACTTCTCGACTACTTCTATTTGCTCACCATCCAGGGTGAGTACAGGATTAGAATCCTGTCAGTCTTGTAGAAGTACTTTTCACTTCGAAGGTGCAAAGCACATACCATACCTACGGACACTGATTGCCAACTGATTAAGTGCGGATTGCATGCCTTGGCATTATCGCACAGTAAGACAATATCATCCGCATACTCAAGGTCGAGAAGTTTTTCTCCAAGCAACAGATCCACACCACCATTACTTACATTCATCAGAGCTGTTCCCAGAATGTCATCGATGGCAAAGTTGAAGAGGAATGGTGAGATTGGGAAACCCTGCCTAACCCCACTGCTCGAATGGAACAATGGAGAGAGGTGGTTGTATGCCCTCACTCTGCCTGAGGTGTTTTTATACAGGGCTTTTAGGATGTTAATAAACTTCTCAGGCACACCCTTCTTCAATAGACAATCCCAGAGAACAGTCCTATCCAACGAATCGAAGGCAGCCCTGGTGTCAAGAAACACTACGATTGTTGGCCTTTGATAAGTATGGCGGTGTTCTAACATTTGGCGAAGGGTGAAGATATGATCAATACATCCTTGGCCAGAACGAAACCCAGCCTGCTCCTCGCGAGTCAATCTTTCTCGGGTTTTGAACAACCTACGAAGAATGACGGAAACCAATAGCTTGGACGCAATCGAAAGTAGACTTATCCCCCGATAGTTGTTACAGGAACGAGGCGAACCCTTTTTAAAGATAGGGACAACTATCGACTCATTCCATGACGTTGGTATGTTCTCTAGTTCCCAAACCTTTGTAAACAACGTCGTCAATTCCTTAGTCAGAAAGTCACCACCATCTTCAAAACGAGCCGGAGGTAAATCATCTGGGCCAGGTGATTTGTAACGCTTCAAGAGTTGGAGTTCCTTGCGGACTTCCGCCTCATTTGGTGGATCAGTCGTCACCGGCTATGGGGGGCAGGACAGTCTGACCGATGTTGCCGGAGCAGCAGGCCAGTTGAACTGTCCTTCGAAAAATTCTGCCCATCGTCCAAGACGTCGATGGATGTTAGTGATTGGCATCCCATCATCCTCGCAGATTGTTTCGCTCACACCAGACTTCTTGCTGCCAGTGGCTCGGATGAGTTGGAAGAGCTTCCGGTAATTACCAGACGCAGCTGCTTCTTCCAACTCATTAGCACGCTCCGACCACCAGGCTTCTCGGTTCTTACGCAAGCTTTGCCCAATTTCCTTACGTAACATCCTTCGTTTGTGGTCAAACTCACGATCTCCCGGAGTAGACCGATGGGCTTCAATGAGTTGTAAGGAGCCGGAAGAAACCCAGTGCTTATAAGCGGGACGTTTCGCAAACCCACAACTGACTGTACTATCCATTTTCATGGCGTCATGTCGTTGCAACCAATGCTCATCTATACTTTTCGGTGGAATGGTAGCTAGCCTAGAGGCTAGCTCGGTTCGATACTTACTTGTAACAGAAGTTGCAACTAACTTGCAAACATCAATCCGTTGGTGGCGGTCACTTCGTTGGCCACTGAAAAGTAAGGCAAGATTGGCGCAGACCAAGGCATGGTCAGAGTCCAGATAGGTACTCCAAAAGGAGCGGCAGTCTTTTACACAACCACGCCAGCGGTAGCTGATCGCGATGTGATCAATCTGAGTCCAGGCTTGGGATGCAGAGGGAGGACGCCAGGTGGCACATCGGCGATGACTGTGCCGAAAGTTAGTGCTAGCCATAAACAGGTTGTGGTCTGTGCACAGTTGCAGTAGACGGTCCCCGTTATCTGACCTGCGACCAACGAGTCCCCATCGGCCACCTAAATGACTCTCTTCTGTGCCTAGACGCCCAACCTGAGCATTCAAGTCTCCGGCTAGTACTACAATATCTGTCGAACGCACTTTCTGGAGAAGAACAGATAACTGGTGGTAAAACTCATCCTTGATTGCATCCGGGCTACAATCTGTCGGGGCATAGGCGGAGATCACGAAAAGACATCGTTTCTGACGCCGATTTCTTCTCACTTTGATGGAACTTTCCAATCTAACAGCACATAACTGACTGTTAATGGGGATCCAATCGACCAGTGCTGCCTCAGCTCTAGCGCTTAGTGCGACACCAACGCCAGCAAGACCAGACGAAGATGCCACAGGGTACCCCGGATAAGCGCACGTAAAACAAGCTTTTCGAAGCGACAGATGGAGATCGAATTTGTAGTACTTCGCCAGAGTCTTGAATATGGGTCTCGGATAGACAACAAACATCAATATTAAGACTTTCCAAAGACATAGCCAGCCCTATCTGTTGTCCGACCTGCATAAATGTGCGAACGTTGAAGGCAGCCAGTTTGAATGGTGCACGTGGTTTCAGAAAAACTGCTTCAGTTCTCGTATTCGGTGGTAACATACAATTTTCAACCGGACAGTGACTCGAGAACGTTTAGATACAGTCGAATTTCCACCATAGACGAGCTGCTGTATAAGTCGAAAAAAATAAGTATAGACAGAGTAGAAATAAAAGGGTGAATAATGACGTAGTAAATAATAATAATAATAATAATAGTAATAATAATAACAGTAATAATAATCATTTGAATAATTTGATTGTTAGTTGAAGCAAGTAAAGTAGTTTCCATAATTATAGGCAGTTCATTATATTTGTGTGTGGGCTGTAATGCTGCCCGGGTGCCCGGACCGAAGCAGGTGGTTATCTTAGGGGGCCACACCCCGAGCCTTTGACCTAAAGGTCTAACCCATAAGGCAGTGGAGCATCGTAAGGAGATGCAGTCCCATGGTAGCCGGTGACCAACGATTGGTTCATACGCCATTCGTACCCGCAGGATACTGGAGCCCATGTGCACCATTGATTTGGAATCCGGTTAAAGCGCCGGACATTCGCTTTTCGTCCTCTCATTTTCGTAAACAACACCCCCGCCACGAGAAGGCAATGAGTAGGACTTCCCTGGCAGAGGCTGTATACGCGTGGCCGTGTGAGAGTATTTCGAGAGGAAGAGCGGACTTTCCTCACTCTCGGCCGTACCAGGGCATTTGGGGGAGAGAGTTACTTACGGTGGAGCAATGGGCTAATGATTAGGAGTTATACTCTTGTGTACTAAGTCCCAGGTTTGAACCCGGTTCCTCCTTGGGCAGACGGGTAACGTTATTAATCTTTTTACTTAAAGTGTGGCTCATACTCAGGTCTCAAGTAAGTTAGATTGATTTAATTAAAGGTATGTGTCACATAGTACCAAGGTGTATGATCCTTAAGTTAATTATCTGTCAATTAAGTGAATAATATTGAGGTTGGACAGTCGGTCGTGGGAAACGTGGCAAATCAATTGATGAGTTATTAAATCTTTATCGAATGAATTGATTAGGACGTGTTAGATGTGCTTAAATATCGTCCACCTTGACACGATGTTCACTGATGTAAGAGTAAGTTGGGAAGACGTTAGAAGTGGCCGAACCAAGACCTGATATTAGTTTGTGCAGTCACTGAGTGACGGCAGTTTCAGACATCTGGTTAGGGTTAGTATGATAATCGTAATCAGCGGTTAGAAATATTGGGTGTCATTGCTGGAAATCGGTCACAATGACGCAGATGTATTCACTTTTGAGTCCTAGTATTTCTTCATGAATGCCTTTGCGTTTCGTCTTTTCAAACCATATTCTCAATATTTAATTTCCATTATCATTAATACTGCATCGTTTTGACAGATTTTGCAATTAATCTTGTTGTTTTCATCTCGTCGTGTTATTATAGTACAGTAAGCTAAACCTGCGTATATTTTTTAACTAGTTTCTACGTTGATAATGACTAATTGACTGGAAACTCTAAACGTAAATGATTCTGACTCAAGAAGAATCTTACTAAAAAATAAAATAGACTGTTGTCGATAAATCTTTGTTATTTTGTCTTTCCATATCCTTAAAAAGTTTGGACTGTGCTGCAAAAACCTATCGTGCTGAAGGATTTTTTGGCATGTACAGAGGTTAGTACTATGTGATTAATGGTTTTTTATTTTATCAAGGTATTTATACTTTTATTGTCAATAGCTGTTTTAGTAATTGTTGGACTTGAGTGATATACATTAATTTTATACGGTTCAAGTAGTCTATAGCAAGATAAGCTTTCAGCAGTTAGAGTAATTCTATTAAATTATAAAATCTGAATGTACATTGTTTAGTTAATCGATGTATTACATTACTGAATTATTATCTTGCTGATAGTGACAATTTTATCTTTTTGATAGCTAACGAATTAATCTTTTAATCGTCTTGTCTACTTTTATGTTACAGTTCAATGATATTAGGACTCAAATACTACCCATCAAATTACTAGTACAAATCCGACTATTGGTCGAGTTTAATTTCAATAGAATGGTTGTGGTATATTTGGTTTGCATACAGTAGTACCGTTTAAAGCTTTCTGAACATTTATTCTTCATGTACAGATAATACTTTTAATACTTGCTACAGTTTAGCATTCTTTGTTTTATTTTGAGTCATTAGTTTAACATAAAGAAGGTTAATCTAAATCCACTAGAAACTCAGGTCTGGATATTTATTGTTCATTCAGCCATATTTTAAGATACTCTATTATTTTGATTCGTACAACCAGTTGCTGTTATCATCGTCATGTAATTAACATAGCCTACGGTTTCAAACGTGAATTCTCAAATAGTTGTTGAGTTACACTTGTTATAAATATAAAAAATGCCATGACTTATGGCTGCTCACTGACAGCACGTAACAAAATCGCCAATCGGAATATCGAAATCTATGACCTTGTCCCTGTGCTGAACCAATAATGCGTCAAACAGCACTAGCAGCCTTGAGTCAACTCTGAGACTCTATTGGTCTTCTGTATTGTAATTTGTCGTATATCCCAGTCCGTTCAGTTCAGAACACAAATATCAGCCTCCACTATATGAATCGTAGATTTCAGACATACGTAGTTTATATACAAGCAGACCAGACCGTATCATACCGTATCATATCATGAAAAATAACAGTTATAAAAGGTCAAGCCAAAAGTGGTTGTGAGTGTGGGGGAATAAGTTAGGGATAATTAATCTATAGGTCAGATAAGAACTTACGATAAACTGAACACGAATATATATATATATATATATATATATATATATATATATATATATATATATATATATATATATATAATTCCTGGCTGTTACCACTCATTCTTCTTTCGGATATAACAAAAACTAAGTATTACTCAATAAATATAAGTATTCATAAGGCTTGTTCAGCAAATCTGTAGGAAACAATTATTGTTGCTGCTATAACACTCGGTTTTCCCGTCTACCTTAGACGAATATCTACACTAGATACCATTCCAGTGACTATTCTAAAAGACTTCACAACTAAGATCAAGAACACATGACTAACCTGACCAGAACGTGGGTATATTTCCACTTTGAAGAAACCGACAACAAAAACAATAATAAGGGTAGGAAAATGTATAACTCATTTAACACCTGTAAGACTACCTACAAGTCTGGCTAAGCAAACAAGCAACCATTATTTTCCTCGAACACACATCAGTTACATCATATTTTCTTCATTATCATTACTATTGTCATTGTAAGCATGTCCGAAGTGTTTCCATGTGTAGAGAGGAGTTAAGAGAATGAAAACTCACGATGCACTAGCTTAGGTGCCCGACCGTTGTCTCTACCTTGGTGTTATGGTTGGGTTCGCATATCGTTTTGACTTGGTTAAGCTATATGGACTGATAACAAGGACGTCAGCTAGAGGTCCTCAAATTCATGGCCTAAGATAGAACTCGTACTACTGACTGTGCTGGGGTGTGGTAGCGACAATGTCTCCCAAAAACTAGCATTTCCAGCCATGCTGACCCTTACAAAACAGGCAGGAAGAGTTTGGCAAAGATCAGTCCCAAAAGTACCACACCTCACCTTACTCATGTATTTCCATTGTCGGTGGTAAAGTCTTAGATAAGGGGCTGGCATATCTTAAGCCGACCATAAAAAGCCGTTTGTAACTGGACTCAAGCAATTGTCCTTTTGACCCTTTGTTCATATTGTTGGGTTCTCAGGGCCACTCTTAATCCAGTTTTCTCTTCAGACATCTCCATAAGAAAAAGTGTCCTTCCACGGCGTGAGGAGTCGATAAGGGACAATCGCCATCATACCTCTAACAGTACCCGAGATAATCTTACTATCCATTTGAGTAACAGTTTTATGGAAATAATTTTTGTTTAACAATAACTAAATGTTTTAATGATAAATAACATGTAGTATTGCACCTGTAGTAATGTAGCTCACTTACAAAGTAAACATTTATGTATTCAACTTTAAACCACACTGTTTATATTGATTACGGTTAATTATGCTGACTAGCTGCCCAAACTAAATTAGATGAATGGAGGTCCAAACCAACGACCCAGTCGTTGAAAAGTGAATACTTCCAACCAATAAACTATCACTTCATTTATACAGTAAATTTGTGATTTTTCAACTTTATGAATCAATTAACTTAAATCTAACAGTGTCCAGAAAAAAAGTTAAATGTAAATAATGATATAATTAACTTTGAATTTAATACACTTTTCACCAGGTTCAACATTAATCTTTGCCATGTCAAAACTTGAGAACTCTTATGTTAGCGTTTTTTCTTCTCCGATGTTTTAGGAAGTGGTGTCAATCTCCTTTTAATTACACCAGAAAAAGCGATTAAATTAGTCGGCAATGATTTTTTTCGTTATCATTTAAAACCTGAGGGGTAAGTTTTTTTAATTATTTCTATTATATTTTTTTGTTTTCGAAAATCTGTTAACTTAATTGATTATTAAATTGTCTTTATTTGAATACTTAGCAATTAGAGCGTTTGGCTTGCAACTATTAATTTACAACGTTTTCAAGCAATGTATATTAGCGCTTTGTAGTGGAATCTAGGAAGCTTGTTTCGTCCTGTTCGAGACTTGTCTGTTGGATGTACTTGCTACAGAATCTTGCTGTTGATGTTCACATAGGTATTTAAACTCAGTGTTTCTCGCTTCAACCTTCCTGCTCGTTATCCACTTGCCGTCTGGGTTGAGTAGCTAAGCGTATAACTTATCAGGCATGTAAAGCGAATGGTGTCGGGTCCTTGTCCCTATGTGGACATCAATACTGGAATCTTGTAGTAAGTACATCCACCTGATGAGTCCAAAGCAGTACGAAACTCGTTTCCCGGATTCCATTTAGCCATTATTAAACATTGCTTAAAAATACTTGTGGCAGTATCGATGGCCCCCCTGAATGCCCTGGTACGGCCGAGAGTGGGGAGAGTCCGCTCTCCCTCTCGAAATACTCTCACACGGCCACGCGTATGCAGCCTCTGCCAGGGAAGTCCTACTCATTGCCTTCTCGTGGCGGGGGTGTTGTTTACGAAAATGAGAGGACGAGAAGCGAATGTCCGGCGCTTTAACCGGATTCCAAATCAATGGTGCACATGGGCTCCAGTATCCTGCGGGTACGAATGGCGTATGAACCAATCGTTGGTCACCAGCTACCGTGGGACTGCATCTCCTTACGATGTTCCACTGCCTTGTGGGTTAGACCTTTAGGTCAAAGGCTCGGGGTGTGGCCCCCTAAGATAACCACCTGCTTCGGTCCGGGCACCCGGGCAGTATCACAGCCCACACACAAATTGATGAACTCTTTATGCCTATGGAAATTACCTTTCTCGCTTTGAAAAACAAACAATTGATTCAGATCGATGCAGTTTTACTCAGGACACACATATGTCAAAAGAGACTAACCAATCAACAACGGGAATATTCGAACCCTTTCAAATGAATTAGTATTAAGTTACAGATCCCACTCCTTTACCCTCACACGAAAGTTGTGGTTCAAAGCTCCAAGTACATAAATTTTTATCTGGTAAATGAGTTACAAAAAAATTAGTTGATATATATAGTATGGGTATTGCATTCTGAATATTTTATTGATGTTATGCCTAGAGTTCAATAACTTGAACTAAATTCAGTGCATATTCAGGAAAGATTTATTTGAACTGATGATTTAATACAATCATCTTAAGTTAATATTTGTTGGTCTCGTAACGTAAATGAATTATTACTCTTTTCGGGTTTGTATTGAATAGTTACTTTGAAATGTGGAGCTATGGTTCGATGGTTGGTTAAGTTTAATATTTAGCCACTAATTCTTATTGTTATTGTTATGTCCTGTGGCTAGTCAAATATCGCGTAACAAAATCGCTAATCGGAATATCGACATCTATGACCTTGTCCCTGTGCTGAACCAATATCGCGTCAAACAGCACTAGCAGCCTTGAGTCAACTCTGAGACTCTATTGGTCCGTTCAGTTCAGAACACAAATATCAGCCTCCACTATATGAATCGTAGATTTCAGATATACGTAGTTTATATACAAGCAGACCAGACCGTATCATACCGTATCATATCATGAAAAATAACAGTTATAAAAGGTCAAGCCAAAAGTGGTTGTGAGTGTATGATCCTGTAACTAATAGATTAGGAATGGTTTAATGGGTCATAACATCCTACATATATATAAACAAATTAGATTTCTTTCACTTACTAAATTTTCTGCATGCATAATTAACATTGAAAATCTCCTTGGTATATGTTTTGTTAAGAGAAGTTAATTTTACGTTCGTGCCCTACGTTCATGTTTCTTTGTGTTGGGGTTGCTTTCGAGAAGCACAGTGGAGCCTCCAGAGGCCTTAATGGAGCCGAAGAGTTCCCACCCAATCAGAACCTGATGGAGCTTTTCAGAATATTAACGTGGCATGCTGCTATTGGACGGTAGCATAACGTACCTCCTTGCCGATTGACGGAATTATAATGATGTTATAGCTAACGCCGATAACTATAAATACATATGTTTTTCCGTAGATTTTTGATTATTACCCAACATTTATTTTTGCTCTCTTCTGATTTTACGACTGTGGGGTTCTATACGTTCGAGTGCCGTTAGTTGTATACCGTATTCTGCGTTAATCAAGTAGAGGACTGGACACTGTTTAAACAATGTTTTTGTTTGTTTATTTCTAGCAAACCTTTAACTCCAATTCGTGAAATGTTTGCTGGAGCTGGTGCAGGAACTTGTCAAATTATTATCACTACACCAATGGAATTATTGAAAATTCAATTACAAGATGCTGGTCGAACATCAAGTAAATAAAAAACTAAAATAAATATCAAACTGGCTCATTTAACTGTATTCTGGATAAGAAATTATGGCAGTCACTATCGAGCAGTATGATGTATTCATTAAATACGTTTGTAGGCTTCAGTATCATCCCTACTGTTTAAGGTTTATCGATTAATCTGTGTTAATTGTCTCATGTATCGTTGCTTACTACTTTAATATCATTGGGTTTTGTGATGAAAGTCCTCGTAGAGATAAGATTGTATGATGGCAAAGGTGACGCACTGTCTTTAATTTTCATCTTAACTGGATAAAGTCGTAAAACCAGTGTGATTCTACTCTGCTGATTATCTCTACATTCACGTCCGATAGTGGAGCGCTGGGTCATTGGTTAAGACTCTTGACTTTCAGGCACTACGTTATAGGTTCTAACTCCCCTGCTCGTACCTTGGTTTGATCAGCGGGATAGTATCAGTAGCTCACACTTAGTGTGACTCGAAGCTCCATACACACGAATCTGTGCCTGATAAGTGAGTTAAGGTATTCGTATTCTATGTCATTTGCATATAGTTTTCTTCAAATCATTAAACAGGATTATATGAGTAGCTTACATCCTGAATGCATTAAGTTATTCCGAGGTTTTCTGTATTAAGCTGTTATCTTAATTTTATTGAAGTTAAGTATGTTGACCATCGCCCAACCTTTCTGTATTACTTTGTGGCCATGCAACATGGTCTCTGAAAGTAGAAGACATGAGTGGTCTAAAGAATTTTTATTATAAGTATCTTCGAAGCATCGCTCGTTTATGATGGAATGATTTAGTGAGTAGTGTTAAGGTTAGGCGTAAAGTACTTTTAAAGGGTCCGAAATCGGTTAATGAGGTGAAGCTTCATCGATTGAGGTGGTTAAGACATATTACGTATGACTAAACACCGCCTAACTCGATGAGGAACTCTTGCTATTACAGAAGTTGGTTGGAAGAAAGCTAAGGGCGGCCAAACTAAAATACGACATCAGTTTATGAGGTCATTGACTATTAGTCTGAATCATGTTACTAGATGTAAACTATCTGATTGGAGTCTGTACATATATTGTAAACAAGGGTTAAAGTCTTTGAGTGACATAGCTCAGAATCACTCACACTGGTGCAGATGTATTCATTCTTCATCTTCCTCTTGATCTTGAATTCCAGTGTCTCTTAATGCATACCTTTGAGCGGTGTCTTTTCAAACCATATTCTGAAGGTCTAGTCTTTCTTTTTATAATTGCTGCAACGTTATTTTGATCTCTTTTGCCACTTTTATCTCGTGATAGTGTGGCATGTGAATTCGGGTCAACGAACATTTGTGCGAGGCTCAAAGTTGATAATGTCTATCTGTCTGTAATTTAAACCACTGAATTCTGGCTCAGTCGTCTAAAGGTCAGGCACTTGCTGTAAGACCTGGAGCTTCTGGGTTGAAAAAGCTTGGACCAGATTGCCAGGCGAAACGTTGGATTTACTTAAAATTCATTCGCTGAGATTTTACAAATATATTCTTCTTTTCAAAGTCTCAAATTAACTCAGCGCCCAAATATTGTGAAACTATTCGTTCAAATTTAGACGAAAGTTCTTATTTACTTCTGGGTTCGGTTCGTGGTGGAGTCATGGAGGTTCACTACTGAGGACTCTCATACTCAGACAAAAAAATTATCCGGCACTTTATATTTTTCAATGGTTGTCTGGCCAAGGTTATTGTTATTCTGTAGTGATTCAGGCTTATTTTAAAGCTAACCACAATAATGTGTATTCCATGGTTTCATAAGTATCATCCATTTTTTATTCTGTGATAAAATATTGTCAATGTTTACAATTTTTTAATCTTTAGTTCCTGTAACTAACAGCAGTGGTACAGTAGTAGCGACACGACAGACTGCTACTCAATTGGCCATTAAATTGGTTCGTGAAAAAGGAATATTTGGTTTATATCGTGGAATGGGTGCTACATTTTTACGTGATGTTTCATTTTCTATGATATATTTTCCATTATTTGCAAATTTTAACGCTTTAGTAAGTATATAATGGTAAATTTCCTCGAATTATTTTGTTTGTTTGACTTTTTCGGTTTACTATATTTTGTGGGACAAACTAATTAAAAGTTCATACTAAAATGAACGTTCGTCCCCCAAACGCATAGTGAAAGCCCGATGGGCTCATACCAATCTGGTCCATCCTTGGCACCCTGTAATATTAGTTTCTCTGTAAAAAGCCGGATTTGCAACGTATCAGTGAGAGCTATTCTGTTCTGTGCTTGTAAAACCTGACCGCTCTGAGCTGAGGATGTTCTGTGGTTTGCCGTATTCGATCATCATTATCTCCGAATCACCGCTGACATCCAGTGATAACACTTTGTTAGTAATGCTGTGGTTTGGCTATGTTTGTTCGAGCACAGTAATTTAATTGGTGTCATTGTCTTAAAACATCGATCCCGATGGCCTGAAAATATCTTACGAATGTCATCCTAATGACTTCCACAGCGTATATTGATTGTCAACGCTGTGACGGGGTGGGGTCAAAAATGACTTGGTACCTTGGTATACAAATGTTGTATAGGACTGGCATCCATCGATCCATCATGACTCCCCGGTGCAACTCAGACATTACTCAGAACAAAACCAGTGGCTATGCGCCTGTAGTTTTGTACATTTTTCATAAAAGTACGTGGAGCTCACTCAACTGAAAAAGGTTTTCATATTATATATTGCTCTTGTTTACTTTTTTTGTAATTGTACTATTCTCTTATAATTATTTTGCCACAATGTTTTTAACTCCTTATTCGTGTGGTGCATAGATTTTTGATGCCCAATTGTTTTGGGTTTTGTGCGCATTAAATAAACAAATAAGAACACAAGCTAATTTATTAAAACTTTGATCAAATATTCTAATCCATAAAGTATAGTGGAAGTTTATTTGAATTGGCTTTTATATCTTAGAGTCTAATAACTCATCTATACGATCTGATTTTAAATCGGAGACCATCAACTTCCTCAAATAAATATCCATACTTACCACAATCACTTTTAATCATTTGGTCTCCTATTCAGACTCTTCTCCACCTACTTCATTTCAGACAACCAGTTAGTATCATTATCCGTCACTTAAAAACTGTAGCACACTGCTGTGTGAGTTAATCTTTAGTTGGTAAATGACACAGCTGCATAATTCAGCTTCTGATACTAGCTGGTTGGAAGTAATCTGTACGAAACTCTGTATAGAGCTGCTGGGCTATACGGTCTTGGGCTACCTATCTTCAGCTACCTAACATCTCAACATCGTACATGCTATGTTGAGTCACTTAGACTAGTGGTCACATTGTAACTTTGTCGTTAGAGTTCGACCAACACTAAGGAATAGAGAAATATTCCCTTGGTCACTACTCAGTGGTGGTCCAATCAATTTTAAATATTTTCTGATCACAACACTCTAATCGTCCCAAATCAAAACAAGAATCGAGAGAGAACAATTCATATTTCAATATAGTTTATATAAGATTTACGTAAGGATTTAGGATCTTTTCAATTCGTCTGTTGTCTATGATTGATTGGAAATGAATCAGTCGGCGTGTTTCAACATGATTTCGATGTAAGCACAGAGCAATGAGTGGGTCATGGGTTTGAATCCCACTGTATCTTTTTTGGTTTAACTTATCAGATATGATCATTAGCTCTCGCTTATGGTTTGAAGTGAAATAGATAAAAAGCCATATCTGGTCAGTGAGTTACATGTACACGCTTATATCGTGCCACTCACTCTCGTGCACTGTAACAATTTGTCTCTTTTTCTACTGTCTTGAGGATTCCAAGCTAATGTTTTCTTAAATTACTCGTTGTTGAATTAATAAAATTTACTTTATCATTATTTTAGTAAATTGAACTCACGATTTACCATTTCCGCATTGTCAATCATATTTAGTGTTGTTCCCAGCTTTATTTTGATCTCATTTAATTTTTTCTATTAGGGTCCAAGAAGATCTCCAAATAGTGTAGAGGCTGTTTTCTATTGGTCATTTCTATCAGGATTTTTATCAGGAACAATAGCTGCATTCAGTGTGACCCCGTTCGACGGTAAGTTTCAATCACTTGTGAATTATTACACGTACACTGATTTATAAATATTTCAAATATTTATTGAATATTTAGTTGAATCTTTTAAAAGGCTCAAATTTATCTGGCCGATGAAATTTTCAACCAGATCAATCAGAGTGAATGATGTCTGTTTAACAGTTTGTGAGATCCCATTCTTTATCATAGCTAAATTATACCAAATTGAAATTAATATACTTCGACAAATAAAATGTCATTATTATTATTTTACGATTTTTCTTCTAGTTGTTAAGACTCGACTACAAACAATTAAACATATCGAAGGAGAGAAAGTATTCAAAGGAATAACAGATTGTTTTGTGTAAGTTCTTATTATTCGAATTATTGATTAAATAGCTTGAACATTTTTAGATCTCTTGGTAGAAGAAAATAATTACTCTCATAGTTTACATCACGAATTGATCTTAGTTAGATGGCCATTGAAAACTAGTAGGTGCTAGATAACAGTCTCATCCTAATATGCCCCCAAATGTTCTGGTACGACCGTGGGTGGGGAGAGTCGTCTCTCTCTCTCGAAATGCTCTTACATCGCCACGTGCATACAACCACTTCCAAGGACGTCCTACTCACTACCTTCTCGCGGCGGGAGTGTTGTTTACGAAATGGAGAGGACGAAAAGTAAATGATTTCAGGCAGTCAACACTCATTTGTTCTTCGTTTGGATATAACATATTCAATTTATTCAAGTGATTTACCGAATACAGATTTGTATAAGTGGCTTCAAGCCACATTCAAATTCTACGAGTTGTTAATGCTACCCAGTTGTCCAAGCCTAAGTAGGTAGAGCGAGATTTAAATCTTCAAGTTAGTAGCTAAAAGTTAAACAACCTAACCACTGGAACGGTAGCTCAGTAGTATTAAATTATTCAACATCGCTAAGAAAATTACAAATTGAAAACAATCATTTTCTCGTACTTATATTTGTTGTCAACAAAATTTTTAATAATTAATATTTTCGTGGATATTAGGTTCACCTGAATGTCAATGGATCCGAGTTCGTGAAGAGAAATTGAAAAAAACTCTTAAAGTCTAATTTATTAATGCTATTGTTAGCCTTATATCCAAAAGTTTTTCTATTACTTCGCCCCCGAATACCCCGGTACGGCCAAGAGTAGGGAGAGTCCGCTATCCCTCACCCCGACCGTTGTTGCTACCTTGACGCGGTGGTCGGGCTTACCTATCGTGATGAAGCAACCGAGCTATACTGGCTGGAACAACCGTTCCTCAAGGTCCTACCATGTCAGACAGGTCGGTTGAAGAGCGGTAAGACTAAAAGCAACAAACCCAAGGTCCGAAGGCGAAGTCGTACTGCTGACTGTACAGAGGTGTGACAGCAGTAAGGTGTTTCCTTCAGACAACCAGCATGACAGCGATGCTGCCTTCCCACAAGGAGGGGTGGGGTTAGAGAAGGTCGACCCTAAAAATGCACACCTCGCCTTATCCCACGGATATCCGTCTCCGGCGGTAAGGTCTAAATAAGTACGGAGCTAACACAAAAATTACCCATAAAAAGGTCGTGTGTGACCGACCTCAAGCAGTTGTCCCTTGGGCTCTGCGGTCACGCTCTCAAATCACTAAGACCACCTTTAATCCAATTTCCTTTTCAGGTACCTCCAGAAGAACCCTTCCTCGGTGTGGGCAACCGGGAAGTGATAACCGCCCTCATACCTCTAACAGCACTCAATACCACTGTATTCATAATCAACCTCCCTCTTCAATTCCTATTATTCCTCCTATATCGACTTTCAAATTTAAATTTCCTCTCTCGGCTTCCACCTCAAGTGTCACCATAGCCAACGATTCTAGTGCGCAAAACACTGTCCCAGGTCTACTGAAACCTCGCTCCAAACTACACGTTGGAGCCTTCAACGTACGAACCCTATGTCAAATCGGTCAGCAGGCTTCCTTGGCTAAAACCCTAGAGTCTCTTACCATTGACGTGTGCTGTGTCTCCGAAACACGCATACAGGATTCCAGTGTGGTTATTCACTTGACCTCACCTCGGCAAAACGGAGAGCCAACGAGATACACCCTTCGTGTATCTGGTGACCCGATGGCAAGTTCTCGTGGACTGGCAGGTGTAGGCATAGCACTAAACATGAGGGCCGAACAAGCACTGCTAGAGTGGATCCCCGTCAGCAGTCGTCTATGTGCTGTTTGGCTGAACGGCTACGTAAGAATTCGGAAGGATAGGGACACATGTCGTTGCCTTTTTGTCGTTTCTGCCTACGCTCCCACTGACTGCAGCTCAGATGAAGTGAAAGATGAATTTTACAGAAAGCTTTCTGAACTTCTTCAGAAAGCTAAACGCTCAGACATAGTACTCGTAGCAGGTGATTTTAATGCTCAGATAGGCAGTTTAAACCAAACAGAAAGGCATTTAGGTGGATATTTTAGTATTCCGACACAGCGAACAGATAATGGTGATCGTCTGCTGCAGCTATGCTCAGACAATCGTTTATTTTTAGCAAATACAAATTTTAAGCATAAGGAGAGACATCGTCTAACATGGCGACCCACTACACCAAACCAACGATGGACTCAAATAGACCATATTGCCATCAGTCATCGTTGGAGAGGGTCGGTAGAAGATTGTCGCTCATTCTGGAGTACCTGCTTGGACTCCGACCATGCCCTAATACGGGCACGCATCTGCTTGCGCCTCACTGGACGCAAAAAAGCCACATTAAAAAGACCCGTTAGAACTGAGTTGAGTAACGAGAAAACCAAAAGTAGGTTCCAGGAACAACTGAGGTCACACTTAGGTAGTTGTGAAGACGAGGCTGACCCAGATGTTGCTTGGAAGAGCATACAATCAGCTGTGGAAACAGCAGTGATATCTATTAGTGACTTAAACCACAGAGTTGCAAGGAACCAGTGGATTTCTTCAAGGTCTGTCACACTGATGGATTCTCGCAAACTCGTCCCATCAGGTTCTGAACATGATGAAGAGCGAAAACAAATCAGATCTAGGTTAAGAAAAAGTCTAAGGAACGACCGTGAGCAGTGGTGGGCAACGAAAGCAAAAGAGATGGAAAAGGCGGCGACTATAGGGAACACAAGACAGCTTTACAGACTAATAAAAGAAACTGGAATTAATAAGTCAAGTGTAAGTGAGATTATTTCGGAAAAAGATGATACTCTCATCTGCTCCCAGTCCAGACGTTTAGAACGATGGGCGGGACATTTTAGAGAACAGTTCAGCTGGCCTTCAGCTTCTCTACAACTACCCTCCATTCCCAGACAGTGTGAATGGAACATTGAAGTAGGTCCCCCAACTCTTGCTGAAGTTCAAAAGGCTATAGCTAATCTGAAACGAGGAAGGGCAGCTGGTCCAGATGGATTAGCTCCAGAGGTCTTTAAGGATGGTGGTCCAATTTTATCGATTAGGTTGACAAATATTTTAGCTAAGATCTGGGAATTAGACTTTATCCCATCTGACTGGTCGCAATCACTTATCGTCCCAATATATAAGAAAGGGTCAAAATCATCCTGTGACAACCACAGAGGGATTAGTTTAACAAACATAGTATCTAAAATACTGGCCTCGATAATTATCAAACGCCTAACTAAGACTCGTGAACTACAAACTCGAGAGAACCAAGCTGGCTTTAGACCTGGTCGTGGCTGCATCGACCACATATTCACCATTCGTCAGGTTCTAGAACACAGGCATACCTATCGGCGTCCGGCGATGGTGGTCTTTCTTGACTTAAAAGCAGCATTTGACTCTGTAGACCGCGAGACTCTGTGGCAGTGTCTGTCATTGAAAGGCGTACCACAGAAGTACATAAACCTTGTGAAGGCTCTTTACTCGAAAACTACTAGTCGAGTCAGAGCTTATGGCGAACTGTCATCTACTTTTGCAACCTCAAGTGGTGTCCGTCAAGGCTGTCCACTTTCCCCATTTTTGTTTAACTTCATCATAGATCTACTGATGGAAATAACTTTCTCGTCGACTGAATTCTCGGGTATTGATCTCCATCCAGGAGGTCCACTTATCGACTTGGAATACGCAAATGACATAGTCCTGTTTGGTGAAGACGCTGACAAAATGCAGAGTCTTCTGTTAGCACTAAGCAACAATGCCAGAATGTTTGAGATGCGCTTCTCTCCCTCGAAATGCAAGTTGTTGCTTCAGAACTGGTCTGCGTCAACACCCGAACTAAGGATAGGGAGTGAAGTAGTCGAACGCGTTGACAACTTCACTTATCTTGGAAGTCTGATCAGCCCTAATGGGTTGGTGTCTGACGAAATCTCAACCACTGCTAGGCAAGTTCCATTCATCGCCTTCTAACGTCACGGGTGCTGTTTACGAGATGAAGAGGACGGAAAGCTTAAACCACGTTGATTCGCTCGGAGAATCTACATAAAGGAGTTGGAGAACTTTGGTTTCAAACCGATAGTCCGTGTGAACTCCAGTATTCTGAAAGAATAAATCGCGTATGAACCTATAGTTGGTTCATGGCTGCCATGAGACCGCATCTCCTAACGTTGCTCTACTGACCTGGTCTGCGTCAACACCTGAACTAAGGATAGGGAGTGAAGTAGTCGAACGCGTTGACAACTTCACTTATCTTGGAAGTCTGATCAGCCCTAATGGGCTGGTGTCTGACGAAATCTCAGCACGGATTCGAAAAGCTCGCTTGACTTTTGCCAACTTACGTCACCTGTGGCGAAGGCGAGATATCCGTCTATCAACAAAAGGACGAGTATACTGTGCAGCAGTCCGTTCTGTTTTAATTTACGGCAGCGAAACATGGCCATTAAGAGTAGAAGACACTCGTAAGCTATTAGTATTTGACCACAGATGCCTTAGAAATATTGCTGGCGTCTGTTGGGATCACCGGGTAAGTAATAGTGAGGTTAGACGCAGGGCATTAGGAAATGATGGTAAATCAGTTGTTGAGGTTATGAATCTTTATCGACTGAGATGGTTGGGCCACGTGTTACGTATGCCTGAACACCGATTACCACGACGTGCAATGCTAACCAGTGTTGGAGATGGTTGGAAGAAAGTTAGGGGCGGCCAAACCAAAACGTGGCATCAGTGCTTGAAGTCACTAACTTCTAGTCCGGGCCATGTTGGTAGATGCAGACTAGTTGGTTGGGCTCCGCGTGACTATCGTAACCAATGGTTGGAGACTCTGGATGACATGGCTTAGAATCGATCACAATGGCGTCGGTGTATACACTCCCTGTCTTCCCTTAAACTAAGAGATTAAAATCACTTCATATCTTTCTTTCTACGAACTAATTCTTTCTTCCTATACTATATCTTTATTGCAATCTTTCTCCTATATATTACCACCTTTGACCTAACCACTCCTATGAATCCGGTGTTCATCTTGCTGTGCTAATGAGGTATGGCGACCTGGACCGATGCACATATGTGCCTGGTCCTACGTTGTAGGTGACTGACTAACTGACTGCTATCCCTCACCAATTGCTCTCACATGGCCACGCGTATATAACCTCTGCCAGGGAAGTCCTACTCACTGCCTTCTCGTGGCGGGGGTGTTGTTTACGAAATGGAGAGGACGGAAAGCGAATGTCTGGCGCTTTAACCTGGTTGGTGGATACGGAGAGTCGACCTAGGGGAGTTGGGAAACCCTGATTCCAAACCAATAGTGCACATGGGCTCCAGTATCCTAAAGGAACAAATGGCGTACGATCCAATCGTTGGTCACCGGCTACCATGGAACTGCATCTCCTTACGATGCTCCACTGCCTTGTGGATTAGACCTTTAGGTCGAAGGCCCGGGGTGTGGCCTCCTAAGAAAACCACCTGTTTCGGTTTGGGCACCCAGGAAGTATCACAGCCCTCACACATATCAAATGAGATTTGTGTGGCGCATATGTAGTTGGTTCTTCCTTGTACCAAATTCAATGTGTTCAAATAAATAAATAATTAATTAAACCTACCATATTATAGTTATCGAAATTTTTATGCTTTTATTTTCAAATTTAATTATCGACTTGATTTGTTATATTTACTATTTAGGGTTATAGAACCTGATACAATTTTGTGAATTCGTTCCAGTTCCTATAGTATATCATTGTATTAGGGTGAAATTATCGGAATAAATGCTAGAGTTGTAGAAAAAAGAATACTGTCAGTGATTTTACAAACGGTTACACATAGACAATATGATTTGTAGAATAAAAAAAACGTGTATAACATAATTATGAAACTAGGAATTTAATATAAGACAAACAGATGAATGCATATACAGTAGTATTTCAATCGATACTGAACCGTCTTATTCAACGCTTCAAATCAACATTATGAGACGAAAATATATATGGAGTCATTTCATGAAATCACTCACTGTTGTTATGCTAAGCATTTTTCGGAATGGTTTATTTTTTTATTAGGATTTTTAAAATAATTATATGTGTATATTTTTAATGATTGAACACCTTAGACAACGTGGCGTAGATGCAACCATAAGTAGTTATCTTTTTTAAACCGGTTCAGATCAATACCATTTTACACGGTTTCACCTTTAGGAATCATATTTCAATTGATCCGTTTTATCCCAACACCACTATTCATGTTATTATTATTATTTTCACTTTTTGGATTTCATCTTGTGAATTAGGCGTCTCATTATAGTGCTGTAAAATTTTGGTTACTTGAATAATAATGTGCAGATTTATACCAGATTCTTCATTTTTCAAATATGTCTGCCTAACAGAAGCTACTATACAGAGGAACAATAAGTATTCGAAGATGATTCAGAGCTGCTGGTGCTGTTTGATGTGTCATTGATTCAGCACAGGGATAAGGTCATAGATGTCGATATTCTGATAGGCGATTTTGTCACGTGATATGCGAGGGGCCATAGGACATAATATATGTGGATCAGTTCAAGTTGCTACACTACATCAACACAGAGAGATGAAATTATCTGAATGAATTCGGAATCAGCAGAATTTACAATTGTTTCAGTTGGTAGTAGAAGGCATTTAACATAGCTAATATGTTTGTAGAAGAAAGAGTAATTTCGCGGAATGAAAAGATATTAGATAATATAAAAAGTCATGATCTAGAGAGAGATAAAGAGTGACTATATCTCCTCCATTACGACGGATTCTAGTCACTTAACATCTTTATCCATTGATCAAGATAACTTCATAGACTTCAATTATTTGTTTAAATCTATCGACGTAACTCCATAGCCCGATGCCACGTTTTGGTGTGGCGTCCCTAGCTTTTTTCCAATCTACTCCACCAGCTGACATCGCCGACCAATATATACCACTTGACTTCCAAGCTGCTGGATATATAGTTTGAATCCTGCCTTACATGAATTTGTTTATGCAACCGGTTATTATTTTACTGGTTTTCACACACACACACATCAAACTGTGCTTCAAAGACAACATAAATATACAATTTGACAAATCAATTACATTATTTTTTATCATTATATCCATTATATATATAACCACTGTTAAATGCGTTTTTATGATTTATTTTGTAAATTTTCTAGGCAAACATTACGTAATGAAGGTGTTCATGGTCTATTCAAAGGGGCTGGTTGTCGTGTTATGGTTATGGCACCATTGTTTGGTATAGCACAAACTGTGTATTACCTTGGTGTTGCTGAACGAATTTTTGGTTATCCAAGATATTAAAACAAAAATGAATGAAATATACACATACAATCATTCATTTTCAATTCATAAAAATGAAATGATGCTTTGATGCCCTGCCGCCAAATGTATTCATTCATATTTACTTCTATTTTTTCACAGAGGATAGGGGAACAGTAAGGAAATAGTAAGTTACGCAATGCTTTCTTTCTCTTTTTTTTTCTCTCTGGCAATAAATCATTATTATTTTCTATACACTTTTGTGATAAGTAATTTGTATTGCTTTACCAATAGATAATAAACCATTATGATGTGTTTACTTCGGTTGAATTCCATATTGATATTATGTTTCCTTCTTTCAATCCCTTTCTCAATTATTTTATTATTACCCCTCCTCTTGTTTTCAGATACCAAAAGTGTACTCTTTGCTCCAATTAACACGGGCGTTTTATTATTAAATTATAACTGTGATTTTCTATTTAGTTCATCTTTGTATAATTAAATTTCCTTATACCTTGTCCGTATACATTCTATGGACACACACGCACACACCTTTATATATACTGAATATTGGTGATAAAAAGTGAACGAATCTCTGTTATATTTCCTCTTAATTCTCTGAAAAAATCTCTAGGCAACATCCATCTTTGTTTATTATTTAATAAAAGCGGTTGTTTTTTATTGTACATATGTCCTGATTAATTAATGTATCTATTATATCAATTTATTACATTATCATATCTGACTATGTAACTAGTTATTATCATGTTAATTATTACCTTTATTGTTTCGATTATAAAACATTTCCCCTACTTTTCTTTTATGTCTTTCTTCTCCCCCCTCTCTCTCTCACTCTCTGTCTCTCTTTCTTCAAGATTATATTTTTATAAAATTTGACTGAGTTTCACCTTTTTATTCTATTTATTTGTTATTATCATTATTCCGAATAAATTATATGTTTCCATGTTTCTTCGTTTTGTATATCGGTGTTTAATGTTTGTTTCATTGGATTTTCTATTCACCTGATAACTAAACAACTTTGATAGTGGATAATTGATTAATATCTTGTAGATCAAAGTATTCTTTTGATGTGTAAAGTTGCTAGAGTTGGTCGATAGGAAACTTTGCTCAATTTAATTTCCCTGCTATATGGCACTGTTTACTAGGGCATACCCATAGTCTGAAAAGGAATTTATAGTCTCTTATGGATTTGAATTCACGTCACCTAGCTTCATAGGATGGGACGTTACCACTGAGCTGTTCGAGCCAAGACTAAACTCCTATAAGACTAAGATATTTGCAGTTGATTAATCATTGAGTAGTTTTTTGATTTCTTAGAGAAAGGTTATTAGGTTTTTTTATCCTAATCTTTCCTTATGTAATTCGTTTATTTCGTGTTAAAATTTATTGTTATAAATTAGTAGTACATACTGATTTGAAGCGATAGCGAATTCATCTACTAAGTTGTAGGTTCGACTCCTACTCTACTTAATTTTTAGTTCAGTAACTGGATGATGCCACTAAATCTTATGCAAAAGGTGTAATCCGTAGCGGAATACCTCAAGTAGTATTTTCTAAATGAGATATACAGCATTTTTCGAACTCTTTTATTCATTACAAATCAATAGTTAGGTTTTATGGTTTACATCACGAACTAACCTTAGACAATTATTGGAAACCAGAAAACGCAACCAAAGCGTGACTCTTCAGCAGTGCATATTTACAGGCTCACCGGTAATCGAATTAGGATCTGGCCTCATTGGATTGAGTCAGTTACCCACCAATAACATGATCTTATTCTGGTTGCATGATATTTCGGTAATGAACTGAAGTTAAGCGTGTAACCCACTAGTTGTATACTTAGTGGTCCTATAGTTTAGTGCTCCTCACGAAAGCTAAAGGTCTTGGACCTAGTCTTCAGTCGGGTTGGTGATGCTCATAGCTGAGGAATTCCATACTAGAATGAAACAGATGTACTATATTTTGTGGCTGTCTAGCTACAGTCAGTTTGTGATGTAAGCTACAAAGTTGTTAGATTCCAGTAACCATCAAATATCTTTTAATTTAGGTGATATGTTGGCGGAGGAATAATACGATAGCGAAAATACAACTAACCTCGAACACTACAATTACAACTGTGTTTGAACTGTGAAATGCTTCTATGTTCTGACTATATGTAAATTTAATGATAACTGTTTAGATAAGTGTAATATAGCATTTTAACTTAATGTGTAAAATGTAAACGAAATTGTTTGTTGGATTATACTTATTTGATGACTTTAACAATGGTACTTGATTATTGAGTATCAATGAAATTTCACACTGGTTGTTCAATGATTTGAAGACTTGGCTTTTCAATTGTTGAACTCTAGTGGATTTGCCTTAATTTAACTAACTAACTAATCTTTAAAAAAGTTAAGCTAAAAACCCAATATATCAAGTTGCTCTTTTGTTACTGTTGTAAGTTAATAATGTTGAATGTATTGACTAGAGTCGTAAATACGATAACCGGATTTTAGAAGGATAAATGTTATGCGGTTATTGGTTGTCGGGAGAAATTCGTGGAACTAGGTTTCTTGTTAGTTAGCGCTCGTCAACGAGATATGTGTTCAATATTGAGGGAAATAATGTCTATCTGATTCAAACCCAAATCGTACATCCCTTCAATCTGGAATATTATCACTGAGCTATTGAGGTTACGACTGATCTGTTACAACTTGATTGATAGAATTCAATCATCACTAAGTATACTTAGTGCTAGTCTATAGACCAAGCAAACATGAAATTAGCTGCTTATTCACTGATTATTATTATGTTGAAAATTCCTCAGCTTTTATATCTCTGTCCACTGCCACAGTTATAATATTTTCTTGTCAGTGATCGACGGTAATCGTGAGGAAGCTCTGGATTTAAGTTTAGTTCTAGTTGCTTTCGTCAACAGGAGATATCTGTAGTCTTTCAGGGGATTGATACTTCATGTTAGATTTGAGCCTGTATCATTCAGTATTACAGTCATTAATGATACCAATGAGATAATTGGGTAACCACTAACTCTCTGCAGCACTGAGATCATTCTTGGTCAAGGACTATCCAGTAACAGATCAGTCAGTTTTAGTGTGTTTACAACAAATTCTAATGGAAAAAAGGAAGGTTTACTTTACTAATGTATTTTGAAATTGAGATGAAACAGCTCATTGTTGGTACCAAATTATCATTGATTTTTAAATGATAATAATTACATAACTATATTCTGTCTACTTTTTGCTGTCCTAGGTTTTAATAAGTCAGAATATTCTCCATTTTATCATAAAATATATTTCGAGCGTTTATTTTTTATTCAAGTCTGATAAAGTGGACATGCATTTTTATGAAACGTTAGATTGTTCAGGTACTTTAACCCTGTCTGGGTCGATTCGACCTTGAACATGACATTATTTGGATAATATTGTGGTGCGTGCTACTTATATCGATGTAAGTAATATATCACGCGAGTTAAAAACGCAATGTCTGGCAGCAGAAGATGGGGAAAGATCAAGAAAGGGAGAGCGACAACACAATGCACTTTACAAGGAAACGCATGAACAATGAAATGTGAGACAATGGGTTGATGTTTGCAATAGGAACAGTCTAAGTTGATATGATGGATTGATATTTTGCAAATTGACGATTTACTATATGGTTTTTCAATTTTACCAAGTAACTCTGTAATTTTGTGCTAAATACAATTCGGTTGTCCTCACCTGTGTTCACCTTCACTACTGCATAATAAGAAGACGAAGATTATACTATTACAATTTATCAAGCGGACTAATTGCTTATTTCTTTCTAATTTCGAACATTTAAGTAGTACAAAAAATTGATCCCATTAACAATCTGATGTGTAGTGGTAGAAAGTTCTGTTAGTCTATTAGGGGTAAAGTCAGTAGTTGACATTTTTTAAGTGAGTTAAATTATTCGATGCTTCTTGATGAAGTATAACTCGATTGATTGTTACATGATTACAGTCAGTCAATAAGATACCGTGGTGTTACGTTTAATGTTAATTGTAAGTATAATGTTGTGGAGATTGTTGAATTTCCTTGAAATCATGAACCGATCAATGTTAGACCATCATCGAAAACTTGGAAGCACTGAATGGCCATTTCGTTCCAGTATGGGACTCATCCTAATGGGTTGGTGTCTGATGAAGCCTTTGTACGGATTTAGAAAGCTCGTTTGGCTTTTGTCAACTTACGTCACTTATAGTGAAGGCGAGATATCCGTCTATCAATTAAGGGACGATTATACTGCGCGGCAGTTCGTTCTGTTCTACTTTACGACTGCGGGACGTGGCCTTTAAGAGTCGAAGATATCCGTACGCTACTAATATTTGACCACAGATGTCTCAGAAATATTACTCGCATTTGCTGGGATCACCGTGTAAGTAGTAGTGAGATTAGATGCATGGTATCAGGGAATGATGATAAATCAGTCGATGAGGTTGTAAATCTTCATTGACGTATGTCTGAACACTGATTACCGCGACGCGCAACGTTGGCTAGTGTTGGGGATCGTTTTAAGAAATTTAGAGGCGGCCAAAGCAAAACGTAGCATTAATCCATAAGGTCACTAACTTCTGACATGAGCCATATTGATAGATACAGATCACTTGATTGGGGTCGCGTGATTATCGTAACCAATGGTTGGAGACTCTTGGTGACATGGTTCAGAATTGATCACAATGGAATCGGTGTTTACACTCTTTGTCTTTCCTTAAACTATGAGATTAAAATTGCTTTATATTTTTCTTTCTACCAAATAGTTCTTTCTTCCTGTACTATATCCTTATACGCAATCCTTCTTTTATACATTACAACCATTAAAGTGACTACTTCTATGAATTTGGTGTTCATCTTGTGCTAATGAGGTGTAGCAAGTTGGACGGATGCATATATGTGCCTGGTCCTACTTTGTAGCTGACTGACTGAGTACGGGACTCATCAGGAGTGCACATTCACACGGGACTCGAACCTACGTCCTTTGGTCTCTCGCGCGAACGTTAAGCCTCAAGACTACTGAGCTGGGATCCGAAACTAATTGTTACTCGTCAACAAAGTGCACCAGTATTCCTGGGGGAACTAATGCTCTCTGATAAATACGATCCCTCATTTTCCAACTTCACAGTCAGAGATGTTATCACTGAGCTATCCAATATATGACTGTCTTCCCCTAAAACTTTTATGTACTTGCAAGTAGTTGGTATCTGAATGGCAACCAATGTCATGTTTGTCAAGTCCTTCTTGAGTTCTTATCAAATTCTACTGATCATGTTGCAATGTGACTACTAGTCTAAGTGACCCGACATCGCGAGCACTATATTGAGATTTAAGGTAGTGGTTGGGGGGTAGTCGATAAGAAACTATGAGCTTAGGTTTCGTGCTATACGACACTCGTCACCTAGGTTAACCTGTAGTCTTGAGGGTACTGGTGCTCTTTGGAGGATTCGATCCTGTGTCACCCAGCCTCACATTCAGAACTGCTACCACCGGGCTATTCAGGGTTCAACTAACCACCTTTAGTAAATCAAATTTTTTTTACTGCATATGTAATATGAGACTATACTTGAAAGATAGTGAATTAGAATTAAAAACTAAAACGTCTTTCAATTGTATTTTTAAATGCTAAAAAGATTAATAAACTAACTTGTGATGACTAGAATATCTACAGACAGATCAACGTAATCATTTTGAGTTATTTCGTAGACATGTATTTGTCTTTTTCATTTATTCCCCTTTAACCTTGACCGTTTACATAATAGTAAGTATATATCTATCTACTTGCTTGTGTTTCTTACATTTAGTTTAGAACTGAGTTACGTTTTATAGTTTTTTTTTAAAAGTCGGTTTAATGCTGAACTTGAGCGTTTTATATATTTGCTTTATCTCTTAGGGTTTTCTTGCCGTTTAATATTCATATGCATCAAAT